AATGTGAGGAAATTATTTATTCTTCTTTCATAGCCTTCTATAGTATAAATCACAAGCTTGGGCAGTTCAATAAACTATAAAAGGAGTAGGAGTTTGTGAGATCTCAGTGGGAAGAATGTTCCATATGGCAGGGGCACCTGTGTCATGTTTTCTAGGTTCTGCTAGATGGCACCATTTAAGGGAAGGAATATGGAGCCCATTCATCCTTTCTGATATAGTGGAACAAGCAGATATCTTCAGGAAGCAGCAGTCCTGAAAATTACCTGACCCTGTGCCATTTTGAGCTTTAAAGGTGATAACTAGCATCTTGAATTGCACTCAGATAAAAAGTGGAAGCCAGAGAAGCTTGTAGCTCATTAGGGACAAACCACATTGTGCCAAGAACTCTATCACTACGTTCTGGATCAGTTGTAAACTTTATATTGTCTTCATAGATACATGCCCTATGTATTGCAAATAAGTGCCTAATATGAATTTGGGGTTTCATTTGGGATTTTAACATTCACAATCTTATGTTCTTTCCAAGGAGATGGATTGGAAATGGCATCCAGCAGCAATCCAAGGCAAATACAAAGAATACCTAATCAAGAAATATCATCTAGATATTTTTTGGTTTAATTACATCCCTACTCACTGTTGAGTTTGCTGCTCATGCTACAATCGGCTGAATGTTTTACTTCCTGCCATTAATAGCGTAGGAGGCACTGCTCCAAAAGTGATACATGTGCTGTGACCTGTGAAATGTACATAACACCTAGCTATGAATATCTCCAGGTCTTTTTTTATTTTGAGAAAACAAGTTAGATGCCTTCATGTTTAAGTTACTTCCAAATCTCAACATTACCCAAGTTTAAGAGATTTGTCCTCAACTCTTTATTGAGGATGTTTTACTTGTATGCAACTGAATGGAGTCTGCATTTGGATTCTGAATATTCCAGAGATGAATAAAACCTCTCCAAAAATGGAACTATATATTTTAATTTGCAAAGATAATTTGAAAATTTTCTCTATTTGAACAGCCAATTTAAAGATAATGAATCTGAAGGGAAAACTTTGAAGGAACCTTAAAGTTATTCATGCTTTTCCACAATGGTGAATAGTAGGATTTTTCCAGTTAAATCATAGTTATGACTTCTAGATGTGTATGCACAGGTAATACTTTTTTGGTATGCTTATGTGTGCCTTCAAGTCATTCCTGATTTCTGTCAATTGCCTGGACAAATTCCTGAAGTTTAGCTTGTGTACTCTGTGAAGTTTGTGTACTCTGAGCAGGATGAAAGCTATACCAGAGGTTCAAACATACTGATCAGGTGTCATCAGAGAAGCCAAATAAAAAGTATAAACAACATGGTGAGACATAATACAGAGAAAACTATACTATATCGATTGTCTCCCATGTCAATAAGGATCATGCTAAGTATTCTAGTTCTTGGACATCTGATAAGTGATCTACAGAACTCAGGACTGTTGGCTGAGCAACCAGGGCCAGTAGCTGCAAGACTATTGGAAGAAAAAGTGTTTATCTATCACAAATATACAAAGATTGTAAACAAAGAAATGAGCTGCTGTTTCAAATCAAGTCCAATGAAAAAAAGGATATCTGAAAAGAATGCCACAGTTTGGGAAAGAACAACACCCACATCAGAAATAAAAGAACAGAGGCTAGTGAATAATCACAGATGTATAATATGAAATAAAGTATTCACAGAAATAGAATTGGAATAACTACAAAAGTCTTCCCAGAGCAAAGAAATTGAAGCCTTGCCACAAGTAACTAGGATTGTAGAGGCAAACCAAGGGAAGTCAGCATTAGAGGAAGCTAGAACACCTATGGAAACATTTTCATTCCCAAACCAAGTCCCCGTTCCTCTGCCTTTTCCTCAGAAAACATAAAGCCCTCTAACTGAAAAACAAGAGGAACTGAAATAAAATCCCTGAAGATTGTAACACCACAAAAATAACAGAATAAGATCACCTACATTGTTCCAAAGGAACAACTAGCACAAGTACTAAAAGATGCCAATACTTCAATATCAAATATAAGCACCAGATCACTGCAAGAAAAAAACGCTATTAATGTACAGCATGATCAGTAAGCTAAGATCAGATGCAAACAAGCTAGAACAGATGAAAGAAAAGAAGCTGATCAACAAGAAAATCAAAGAATACCTAATTAAGAAATATCATCTAGAAACAAGGAAGATCAAGAAAGCACTGGAAATAATAAAGCAGCAAATAACTGCCATAGCCAAGAACATTAGCAGATATAAAGATTGGATTGTACAGTATTGGCAAAATTTCCAATTTCAGTAAAATCAAACATTTCTACCAATCTGTCAATGAAGAGACTGCAATGAGCTTGTTAACAAGAGAAACAGTGCAGATCTGGGTGCAGCTATGAGAGAACTAAAAGAAATACAATAAGAATGCAGAGTGAATAAAGCAGGTGGATAAGAATTAAAAAAAAAGAAACTGAAATGAAAGAACTTGTAATAACAGCAGAAATGATGGAGAAAAGAGCAAGGAAGATCAAGAATTGGTCAGCACCAGGTGAAGATGAACTGGTTGGATTTTGGTTGAAGCATCTAACTCAGACATGTCAAACTCACGACGTCACATGACATCGTGCTACATATTGGAGCTTTTTTGCCATTGCCGGCAATGGGGTGGGCGTGGTTTCCCAATGATGCATTCGGCCCATGGGCCGGCAGTTTGACACCCCTGATCTAACTAGTCTTCACCCCTCATTGCCAAACAGTTTAACAACATACTGGAATTGAAGTGAAATTGAAGATTGGCTAATATCTAGTAAAACCTACCTGATAATGAAATATCCAGCAAAAGAGGCAGCATCAGACAACTACATGCTAATTATCTGCTTACCAAAAACTTTCAAATTGCTAACTGGCATGGTAGATAATGATGCAGTCCAACAGAAAACAACCTCTTTCTATCTGATCAAAAAAAGAAACTGCCCAAATAGCAGAGCAACAAAAAAATCAGCTTCTAATTGACAAGATGATTTTGGAAACCTGTAAGAGAAGGAAGACCAATTTTAATGTAATTTGAATTGAATACAATAAGGGAATCCACTCCCTGCCATATGATTTGATAATCAAGTCCCTACAAATAACAGGAGTCAGTAGAAACATCAGAAGCTTGTGCAAAGATAAATGGCACAATGGGAAAAGACACAGCTATTGCCCAATGGTAATAGATTGGGAGAGATTAATATCCAGAGAGGAATCTTTCAATGAGACTTATTATTACCCTGTTAGCACTGCACTGATTTCTCTGTCAATAATACCAAATAAATCAGACCATGGCTCTCACACATCAAAAACATCTTCCAGGCTATCTAACCTCCTTTACATGGACACTCTGGAGCTGTATGGAAAAACACAATCTGAAATAGAATCATTACTCAACACAGCCCAGATATAGAGCTAAGATGTTGCAATGAAATTTGGGCTGGATAAATGTGCCACTCTTACAATCATTAGGGAAAAAATAGTGAAAACTGAAGGAATCCAGATGCCCTATGGAAACAACATCAAGAATCAGGATGAAGACAATCACTAAAAATACCTGAACATCTTTCAAGCTGACAGTATCAAGCACATTGAAGTCAAGAAGAAGGTTGAAAGTGAATGCATCATGAGAGTGAAGAAGATCTTAAAATCCAAACTCAGTGGAGGAAATACCATCAAGGCAGATAATATCTGAGCAATTGCAGTCATTAGATACATAGTTGGAACAGTGGGTTGGATTCAAGCAGATTAGAAGCCCTAGATAGGAAGACCAGAAAAATCATGACAATGAATCATGCCCTTCCTCCACATAACAGTGCTGACAGTCTCTACTTATTAAGGAGCTTTGTTGGGTATGGAATGTTGAAAGTATTTCAAATGGCTAAAAAATAAAAAAAGGGCATTGGAAGAATATCTGAATGACAATGAAGAAGGTACACTGAAGCTGGTACACCCGGAAGGCTTACTGAATACTGATGAGGCCAATTGGCCTACAAGAAAGACTGAATGAGGAATAGAAAAAAGACATGGCAAAGCAAAGTATTAAACACTTAGTACACTGATGTGCATATGTGCGCACACACATACACACAAACACACAAGGCCTAGCTGGCAAAGCAGATAACAAGAGCAGGAAAGTTGAAGAAACAGTTAGAAGGGCTAATTCTGGCTGCACAAGAACAAATTGCATAAGAACAAATTTGTCTTAAGAACATATGCATACAAAGACAGAGTTGAGAAGACAGCAAAAGACTGCCAATGCTTCCCATGCAAAGAAGTTGAAGAAACAGTGGACCACCTTGTTAGCTGCTTGCAAATAGATTGCACAGACAACAGGATGAGAAAGTAGCAACAATGGTGCATTTGCACATCTGCAAAAAATACTATTTGCTTGGAAGCAAGAATTGCTGGAACTACAAAACAGACAAAGTAATATGAATTGAAGAAGCTAAAGTGCTCTGAGACTTTAGAATCCAAAAAGACAAGCACCTTCCAGGTAACATTCCAGATTTAACGATTCTTGATAAGAAAGACAAAAATGTTTGGATATTGAATATGGCACTACCTGGAAACAGCAGAATGGAAGAGAAAGAACTGGAGAAAATCACATAATACAAAGACCTGCAAATAGAAATAACGTGACTATGCTCAAAGAAAGCAAAGATAGTATCAATATTAGTAAATGTCTTGGATACAATCACAATGCATCTGGGGCATCATTTGAACACCATCAGCATTGACAAAATTATCTTCAATCAATTGCAAAAGGCAGCTATACTTGAAACAGCTTGCATCCTATAACAATAACACCATCAAACAACATCTGCCTATCCCAGATTCCTTGAGATGAAGGGTGGATAAAAATACCAAATCCAGTTTAAAGATCTGGCTGATTGTATGCAAATCATATTAATATTTCTTCAATGTTAACCACAGTTCGAAAAAAATTAAGAAAGAACACTTTCTTACCATATGTGAAGTAGGCAACCTGAGGAGGAAGGGTGACGTTATTGAGGTCATTGTCTTGGACAAAGAGATCCACATATTGTTGTGCTTCTGAGGCTTTGAGAAAAGCCATGAATCTGGCAGTAAAGGAAGCTACAAAAATAGACAGCATCCCAAAATCCAGCAAGTTCCAAAGATGCATGACATATTCACGGGGGCCTTCTTCCCAGATTTCTTTGCATTCAGACCATATCATTCCTATAATGGTACACACACACAATCAGTACCCAATCAGTAATAGCTCACATAATGTCATCCTTCAGCTTTTCCACCACATACTGTATGTATCAATATTAACTGTGGCATTAAATATGCACACACATTTTATTCCATTTGTATTTTCAGTCACTTTTTCCAACAGTAGATATGGTTCTTTTTATTTTGACCTAACAAACCTACGCAGTTTAAATAACCCAATACGCTTCAGGCTTGAGTTGGGATTTGAATACCTCTTTGTTCTTCTAATCACGCTATTGCAGTACATAATCTTTCTCCTTGCTTTTCTTCCCAGATCAACCCAATAATAAAAATAATATTCCTTGGACCCCCACTTCAACACCGATCTTCTTAGAGTGCAAAATATAGCTACAAGAGCAATCTATATTATGTCACAGAAGCTGCTACAAAACGCTGAAAACCAAAGGCATATTCAGTATAATGAATGCAGTAATATATATTGGGGTTGCATTCAAGATTGACAATTGTCATAAGGACCAGAAATATGTATAAGTCAATAATAGGCATGGCCAAGGTATAAATAGGGCAGATAATACTATTCTCCACATTATAATTACCATTGCCATCTATATCATTATTATCACTAACCTCATTATCCTGCTTATTATTTTGTCACCAGTTCTATTTTATGTAGTTATATTATCATACGGTACATAATCAGTCATTTCATGGTTAAATAATAGCCAATGTTACTGTTGCTGTATATATCTCCAGCTGCTATTGCTGAACCCATGTTATTTATTTTCAAACTCTAGTCTATTATCTTTTATTACAATGGAGACAAGAAGTATCTCCAGTATCTGGAGTTGAATACTCTATGCTCTACACAGTATCTCCAGTTGAATACTCTATGCTCTACTGAGTTTCACAGTTGAAATAAACTGTGATTTAGAAAGAGAAGTATCATTTCAACTTTGGAGGGCTTTATTTAAATTTTGAAAGTTTTCTCCAGAAATGTATTTATCCTCTCCTTTAAATGAAGGTCATTGCAGGCAGGCCTTAATTTTTTTAGGAAGGGCCATCACATCCAAGAAGTCAGCATTATCAATAAAGAAGAATATTAGTAGCTCAGGGTTGAAATGAAGGGTCCTTTAGTGCTCCCTGTCAATGCTAGTGATGTTCAACTAGCACTGATGATGTTACCTAATTTGGGAAATGAAACGTCTTCAAAAAAACAACCAAGCTCAGAGAGCACCAAAGACCTCTCAAGTCATCATTACCTCCCATATTATAGTACGTCCTGGGGACTGAGGTTGATGGTGGCTTACTCATATTTACTTCCATGCAGTCATGGCAGGGATGAGATGCCACCCAGGGTCTTTCTGATTTGTAGCTCAGTCTCTCTCCACTATGCTACCTTCAAATCAATCCTTGATTCTTCCTAGCAGTGGAATTAATTGGAACATACAACAGGTCCTTTCAAGTTTAGCTCATGAGCCGCAATAGCATAATTCAGAACATACATTTGTTCAAGTCTGAATCTTCTCTCATCTGGTACTGAGCCATGAAAAACCACTGTTGTCCCAGACTTCTGGCAACCATGCCCAAAGAAAAAATAAGAGTGATCATTTTGAAAAAACCACCACTTCACAATTTGAAGGATTTTGGTAGAGCACGGGTGTCAAACTCGCCACGTCACATGATGTATCGCGACATATCACAACTCTTTTTGCATTGCCAACAATGGGGTGGGCGTAGCTTTGGTATGATGAAACCGGCCTATGGGCCAGCAGTTTGACACTCCTGTGGTAGAGCAACTCTCTGGAGAGTTGTCTGAGAAAGATCTTTAATTTTACTTCAACTCATTGTTGACCTGTGTTTTATTCTGAGCAATTGTTTAGTATTTTGGAAGGAATATTATTTAGCCATCTTAAACTTTATTAGTTTATTTTATGGAATAGACCCAATGAGTTAATATTTTATATTTCTACCTTGAGTAGCTTCCTCACAGATGGGAATAGGCATCCACATACCTCTTCCCTATGTACACACATTGCTCACTATAATGCCTAAAATTTGGTATTTGTAAGAATAATTACAAATCAATCATAGCAAAATCAATCACACCCAAATCAAAGGATGGCTGCTTATAATTCCCGATATACTTTAAGTTTCATAGCAATTTAGCTTCCTTACAAAAATTCTACCCAAAATTAGAGCCAATTATGTTTTTTCCCATTGCAGCTTATGGGAAAATAAAGTTCTGTTTTCTAAATCTTGCTTTGATTTGGTGGTATAATGGGATTGCGTTATCTCTGGAATTACCTAGATCAGTCTGAGTCATTTCTAAAGCCTTGGATTAAGCCTCTGATTCAGGCACAGCTTCTTGTAGTTATTTACTGTTCGTTCCCTGCAAATTTTACAGTGCTGAAATGTTTTATGACCAAAGAATAGCTTACACACCAAAAATGTATTTCTCATTCAAGTTTATTTCATTATGTTCAGTTCTAAAAAAATTGCTTTAGAGTATCGCTTTTCATTCACTTCAGTATAACAAAAAAATACAGCAAGAAAAAAAATACATCTCTTCTATCGTCTGTACAGAGGAGGAAGATGATTTGACTTAGAGACAAAAAAGAATATATTCTGTATATTGTGGTTGTAGACAGCAAAAGAGTTATTTTCTCTAAATAATAAATTCCCTGAAGACACTTTAATTTGATTTTTTAAAAAATAAATAACCCACCCTGCTATTCATATTTTTAAGGCTTGTCAATTATTCATTCTGTTAAAATATAACACCTCACTACTGTTTAACTTGTAACTGCATGAATGTATTATTTTATTTACTTTTCAGTTAGTATATCTCATAGTGGGAGCTAAGGTTGGTGTCAATCCTTGAAAAATAATCCTCAGTTTACAGCAGCAGAGGGCAGCATGTGAACTTCCAGATATTGAATTACATCTCTTATCAATTGGTTACGCTGGGTGGGGCTGCTGGGAATTGTAATTCCCCACATCTGGAAGCTACTTGTTCCTCCTCCCTGCTAAATGTATGAGATAATTTCTTAATACTACTTCATGTGAATGGATTAGGAGACCACCACAGTGACATACCCAGTTGGAGCTTATTCCACCCAGTATAAGTGGCAGTATTTGAAAGGAAACATCTGGTCTGAATGTTCTCATGATTGCTTCATCACAGATGGCCACAGTAGGCAACTCCACGCAGAGCATGGGTGTCAAACTAGTTGCGTCACGTGACGTGTCGCAATGTATCATGACTTTTTTTGCATTGCCGGAGCTGGGGTAAGTGCGGCCTCCATATGATGCAACCAGTCCATGGGCTGGCAGTTTGACACCCCGATGTAGAGGATTATTTTTCTTGTGACTCTCTTAGTTCGGTATAATAAGATATTGGCAATCAGTAGATGATTTCTGAGTCAGTCGGTTCCGATTCATTGACCCTTCAGCTCAGGTTTGCTATCTGATATTACAATACAGATTTTCAAGATTTTACCATAAAATTTGGTACAGAATGAAGCACTACGGAAATATGAAACATATGATAGCCAAAGCAATATAGCCATTTTCCCCCTAATCTAGGTAGGTGGGTATTTTTGCCTCGTCCAAAAAGTGCTTGTATGAGAGAGGAAGGGAGAAGATTTCGGCAAATATTTCTAGGAAAGCTGGATCCACACGTTATTATAGAACAGTAATAATTTTCAGTTCTCCACTAAATCTATGAATAGATAGTATACCAAAGTAAAAGAAAACTTACCTAAAACCCATTTCATGATTAACATTTCTGTCCATGAAAATTGTGTTGTTTTCACTCTAAATATTTGTTTGGGGTGATCCATGGCAGTTTCATTGGGAAGCAGCTTTACACCTTCAAATCTGTCAGAAGCATTCACTACTAGCAGTCCAAGAAAAATTGTAAAAGAAACAGCATGTGCCACAAACTTCATAAAGGGGCTTCGGAGTGTACGTCCCAGCTGAAACCAAAAATAACCATAAGTTTTTTTCCTGTCCTTTCCCCTTTTTCAAAGTTTCTAGCTTTTATTTCTTTAAAATTCAAAAGTTTTTTTTTACTTGGCTTAGGTATTTCACTTATGTCATTTTATCTTTAGTACTCAAGCCACATATCAGAAAGTTTTAATCAATATGGTTAAGAATTTTAAAGCATTTCTAACATTGGAAAAAATATAAATAGGCTAAAATGATAATTTTAAGGTTCCCAAGAACAAAAAGCATTTCTACTCCTTTCATCCAATTAAATTCCAAATGAGCAATTGAGAAATGAAATAAAGGCATCTTTCATAGATCTCTTATGATACGTTTTGATAAAACTACGTACAACTCAAAAGCTCTTCAAGGGTCAGAAAATTATGCCCAACTCTCTATCTATTTTAACCAAGATAGCCAAATTGATTTGGAAAAAAAGAAGAAAGTGATTTAGAATAAGAATCCTGCAGATTTTCAGTTCAGTTCAGTTTTATGGTCCCAGAATTGTTTTTACATTCCAAACAAACATGGCGGTACATCTGCTTTATTTAGGCCTAGGAGAAAAAAATCAAAAGGACCTAGGGTGGAACAGTGACATTTGAAGCTACTAGCAGCTGCTTCTTCCATTGGAAAATTTGGGGGGCAGTGTAGGGATAAGAGACAGGCGAAAGTTGCGAGCAGAAAACTGCCCTACCAATGCTTGTGCCTTTGTTCTGCATCTATCTTCTCCCCCCCCCCCACATCACCATGGTGACGTGACAGTACGCAGATTTGTGTAACCTTGCCAGTTTGATAAGGCTGCTGGGTGAACAACAAGTTTCCCTGTTTATGGCCTCTAGCTTTTTACTCTTGAGGATTGGTAAAGGATTTTAGCCAATGAAATGCTGTTGCCATGCTGTATCTTTTGCTATTTGTGAACCTCTATATAAACAATTAAAGGCTGCGTAGAGGTGGCCATTTCTTTGCACCCTTCAATGACTAAGGAGTGATTACTACAGGGCAGAAATTTTTTTTTCTCTGCAGTCCCCAGGTTGAGCCACCAAAATTTTTGATCTCATCTTTTGCTAATTTCTCTCCCCTCCCCCATAATAAATTTGATCCCAGTTCTTTTTTCAGAAGGTTTTCCTGATGATGGAAAAGAAGTTGTATCATTGTTAAATATTAGACCAGGACTGGTAAGATTGAGATAGATTCAAGCCTACATCAAGCTAACTTTTTAAGTTATTTTGAGCTCCTGAAGGAAAGGCAGAGTGGAAAGCTAACACTTTATTGTATAACAAATTTCTGAAACCCAGGGAACTTAAAACAAAGGTTTTTTTGTTATAAAAACTTTTTTCCTCTCTCCAACATTTCCTGGAATATCTAGGAAATAAGCATCATTGCTTTTTTCAGATATTGTCATTATGCTTGATAAGGGGAAAACATGTTTCTATATCAAGAGCCCAATACTGTTTCAAGAATACCAGACTTTCTAAAAACCCAACAAAACTGGAAAAATATCTTTGCTTCCTTATATTTCTGAAAGACAATCACTAACGCTTCTAGATTTTTTTTAAGGCTCGGTGTTGATTTGGACTTTGCTTGTGGTTAGATTTGTGAAATATGGATTTGGCTGAAATGAAAACATCTCATTCACTCCAAAATCCATTCCTGAAATGGATTTATTGTTAAATTACATTGCAAGTGGAAAGCAAAAAACTGAGTAGAAAATTAAGAGGTTTTTTTTTTCCTGCTCATGCTTTTCTCTCTCAAATCCTTTTTCCAAGGCATTTTCCTTTTAGCCCAACTTAAATACTATGTCAGAATTGTGACTGCTTGAAGAAAAAAAAATAGGAAATATGAATATGAGCCAGCAGTGTGCAGCAACTGCCAAAAAACTAATACAATCCTGGGCCGTATAAACAGAGGCATAGAATCAAGATCATGTGAAGTATTAGTAGCGTTTTACAAATCCTTAATAAGACCATACCTGGAATACTGCATCCAGTTTTGGTCACCACATTACAAAAAAGATGTTGAGACTTTGGAAAAAGTGCCAAGAAGAGCAACTAAGATGATTAAAGGCCTGGAGCCTAAAACATATGAAGAAGGGTTGCAGGAATTGGGTATGGCCAGTCTAGAGGAAAAAAAAAAGGACTAGAGGGACATATTAGCAGTCCCTTCCAAGGTTCCTTCCAGCTCAATTCTGATTGATTGAAAGTCTGACATTCAATTTGTATAATGCTTGCTTAGCAAGTTCACAGTATCAGTATGGCACTTTGCATCTTCATATAACAAGAAAATATATGCTTGGATATTCTCAGATTATTTACAGAAAGAGATGTTAAGAAAAGTTTAGAAAACATGAACACTATACGCAGACTGTTTGAATTTGATAAGGGAACAATTGCCCACTCAAAGAAATACACAACATATTTTTCAAGTATTCTTCATCACTCTACAATAAGTAAAATCTCACACCTGGTCTCCACTTATCCTGCTAGATGTGTTGGCTTAGCAAAGCTTTGTAAAATAAAATAAAAAACCCTGCTATAATAATTAAGAGAAGAAACTGGGATTATTTTTATAATGATGGTAATCTCATGATAGAAGATATACACAATAATTTTTCATAACATACAGAAAATGTGGTTTAATTTAAAAAATAAGAATTGAAATGAATATTTTTCAATTTTTGTGTATTCAGAATCTAACTGAAACCTAATAGATATATATACGTTTTGCAGGATTTTTTTCTTTCAAGTGGGTAAAACTATTGTGGAGTATAAGACTAACATCCAGATCTTTCATAGCTTGTCCAGCAAGAACATGAGTTAAATGATTCCCGTTTATTCTATCCATCAGCATTCAGTTGATTAAAGCGTACTGGGGGTAAAGCATCTTCCTATACTTTTTTGATCTCTTAATCCAGCCATAAATGAGACTTAATTTGGGTAAATTATTCTCCAATCCATAGATAGGTTACCTCAATATATTTGATAAGTTATTATCCAATTAATCATCCAATAATTATCCAACTGGGTGCTTGTGCTACCTGCCAACTCTTACCAAAAGCTAGATAAGCCAAAACAGGAACATTCATATCTAATCCAGCAAGGAGTGATATATATTTTTTTTTTAAAAAGAAAAGAATCAAGGGGCTAATACTTGGATGTCTCGAAAAGTCCTATACAGCCCCAATTGGCTAACAGTTACTTAGGAGGTAAGTTGTGCTGATCCTGAGAAGAAGCAGACAGGGATCCTGTAAGAGCAATTGTCTCCATCTTTCCACTTGACATTTGGGGCTACGGTATATAAGAATGTAAAAATGCTTCCTCAAAAGTAACATTCTTTTCTTCAAACAGTGTAGGAATGGAATACAATGTGTATTATTTTCTAATATTGATAAAAGTTCCCTATGTGCCTATCTCAGAAATAAAACATCTATGGATTCGGCTACTAAATTAATAGAAACACAACCTGCCTTCAGCAGTGAGATTAGAAGCACATTCAATGTTATTGAAAAAAAAAAAATTCTTGACTGAACATAGAAGCAAATGAATTATTTTTAATAACATTTCTTTTCTCTGCCGATGTCAAAATTTCAGATTCAATCAACGCTGCATCAATATTTTATTTCCAAGCATTCTCCAGAATGATAGCTTTCAAAGCTTCATTTCAAAATGTCATTGATAGCTATAAATAATGCAAATTTATAGAATTTTTGAGTCACATTGAGAGAAGAAGAGACAGTGAAAGAGGGATTAACTTGAAGATGTCGATGTTTCAGCTGAAATGTTTTCAACATCCTCTCCAAAAATTGGAAGATTGTTATTTCCAAGTTCCTGGTTTTTAAACTGGGAGTGGGGTTGGAGAAACACCTTATCTGTGTATTTGATTAGCACTGTTGTCAGACAGGGAAATTGATGGCAGAGGTAAAATTCTAGAAAAGCCACATATCTGGAGTAGACCAAGTTGGGAAAATATACTCCAGAATTTTATAAACCCACCTAACTGCTCTCTTAAATATCATGCATGAAGCAACTATAAAAAGCAATAAAGGGAAAGGGAAAGGTTTCCCCTGTCCAGTTATGTCCAACTTTAGGGGCGGTGCTCATCTATTTTTCCTAGCCAAGGGAGCCAGCATTATCTGAAGACACTTCGGTGGCCATGGGGCCAGCATGACTCCACACCAAGGCACAAAGAACGCTGTTACTGTTGAGTCCTTGGCGAAAAGCAGACGTGAGAAGCAGTTGTAGTTCTCAGGTTTCCTTTTATTCTGTGTTCAGCTTACAAGTGAAGGCTTCAGCAACGCCCAAAAGCTCCTAGCCTCTTATATAGGCAGTTCCCGGGTAAATGTGTTACTTTTCCCGCGCCAGCACCCGCGCATGCGCACAGGCGCTGGCGACAGCCTGTCTGGTCCCAGGCAGCTTGCACCTGCCCGGGATTGCCTGCAAACGCCCCGAGCCCGTTTGCAAGGCTCGGGACATAACACCCCTTTCCCCCGAGCTAAGACTACTACCAACATACAATTATTTCTTGATGCAGTGTTCTACTCCCCAGTGCTCCTACTGTTTACTGGCTTTTGTTTGGCCAGCAATGTTATGTAATCCTCTAAGTATTTAGGAGATTTCCTTGCTCTCTGTGACCTTCTCAGCTCTGGGTTTCTGACAGGTGTTCCCTGACTGAGGGGAGACGTGAGCCTGTTCTCCTTATCATGCCTTGGTGCCTTCCAAGGACTGTGCCCCAATGCCTGGCCTGCTTGCTCGCCCACCGGGCTCGTCAGGCCAGGGCTTCTGTCACTTTGTGACCTGGTTGACCTGCCTAGCTGTAGGCCCTCGGGCCCCTTGAAGTGATAGCCACTGCTGGGCGTCTCTATAGAACCTCCTAGGTCCGTCCAAGACCTGTCAGGAGGCTGTCCAATCCCTAAGCCCCGTTCTGTGTCCGGGCTCGTGTGGGTCTCTGTACCTTCCCAAAACTCAGTTACTCCCTGATTTGGGCTAGAGGTGTT